CAATCTTGCAAGCGAAAGGGATGATCACAAACTGACAGTGTCACCAAGAAGAGACAGAGGATGACAGAGGCATGACCAGGAGGTGAGAGTCTGGAAAGGCCTGGCTCCTAAAGGACAGTTCAGCTGGAACTGAAGTGACGTCGAGCTCATCTTTGGAAGCAGGGAGGAACCAGCCTTCTAGGCAAAGGACAGAGGCCGGGCGGGTGGGGGCCTGGAGTCACGGAAGGGGATGTGGCCCTGGGGGAACAGAGGAGGGGGCTGGAGGGCAGAGAGTCCCAGAGGGGAGCTGGGCGAGGCAGGGCCATTTCCGGCCAGGTAGATCACCGTGAGGCACTTGGTGTTATTCCAGGTGCCGAGGGAACCTTAAAAAACAAAGAGCAAGTCCGATCGTAGGTGTGCGAGCACATGCATGATCTGTGCGTCCACACACACCCACTTTTTCCACTGTCTAGCGATCAGACTGGATAGGAGACAGGCTGGGCCCCAAGGAGGTTGGACAGCTTACTGTGTTACTCCAGGGAGACTGGCAGTGGGCAAAACATTGCCAGGCTAGGCTGACCCCACAGGCTGGCTGGGGCCTGGTGCTGGCCCTGAGCCCCTTTGCTCTGGTCACAAAGGTGAGTGAAAGCATCCTTGCTGCCTTAGGGACCTGGTAGTCAAGAGCCTTGTCCCTAGAGGTGCCCGGGATATTGAGAAAGTGCAGGGCCATTTCGGGCGCCAGTTAATCTGGCAACACTGTGGCTAAATGACCAGCTCTCAGTCCCCACAGGTATCCTACAAAGAAACCGACGTGTGCAAAACAACACAAGCTCAATAATTAGATCAGTCTCATGCTCAGGATTACTTATGTCATGTTTGCCTAAGCAAAAGATTGGAAACAACCTGAATGTTGAGTCATGGGGAACAGGTTAAATAAATTTTGATTTTTCCATACAATGAAATACATACAGCTAAAAACAGGAACAAGGATACGTTCACATTCTGCATTTTATATGTGTGTATGATATAAATATATACATGTGTACACAGTTGTTCTGCAGAATCTCTGGGGAGTTGGTTCCAGGACGCCCTCAGATACCAAAATCCATGGATGCTCAAGTCCTTCATAGAAAATGGCATGTCCTTCCATATACTTTAAATCACCTCCAAATTATTTAGAATACCTAATATAGTATAGTGCTATGTACGTAGTTGTCATGCTGTATTGTTTCATATTTTACAGGCACATAAAATAATTTGATCAGTCTCATTCCCTAGTACCTAATTCACACATGTGGAACCCAAGGAGATAAAGGACCAATTATATGTGTAAATATTTGTATATTTTATGAATACATTAATATGTATTTATATATAATATTTATATGTATATAAGTGTGTGCTCATATACTTATGTACTTTACATATATTTATAAAACATATAATGTATCTAAATTTTACATAATATTAAATTAAGATATTACCTTTTTTTTTTCTCATACCAAGGATTGAACCCAGGGGTGCTAAACCGCGAGGCCACATCCCCAACCCTTCTTACATTTTTATGTAGAGACAAGCTCTTGCTAAGTTGCTTAAGGCTGGCTTTGAACTTGCAATCCTCCTGCCTCAGCCTCTCATGCTACTGGGATTATAGGCATGAGCCACCACAGCTGGTTAAGATATGATATTTTTAATATATACAAATTTCCACAATAACACCGCATAACGATATCAAAATATATAACCGTGTGAACTGGATGTTACCCATTGTGTAAAAAAGGGTTTAAAAATTCTCCCACATGTATTTTCAGTATATCCCTAGAAAAGTCTTGAAGACGTGTGTGTGTGTGTGCGTGCGTGCGTGTGTGTGTGTGTGTGTGTGTGTGTGTGTGTAAAACAACATGGATTGGCTCTGATGGAGACAGGCACTGGGGGACATTTACTCTTCACTGTGTACATTCACAGCATTTGAATCTTGCATCATGTGAACATATAGCCTATTCAAAATAACTAAACAAAATTTAGATTTTTAACAAATGTGTGCAAAGAGGTGCTAAAATGGGGGGGGCGCGGGGGGCACAGAGTGCTGAGAACTCAGAAGGGTCCACGGGGGTAGGATCCACCAAGCGCTGACATACTGAGTCTTGAAGGACCAAGATCATGACCCCAGGGGACAAGGGTCTTCCTGACAGAGGCACGGACATGACAGCCAACTGGGTCCCTCCGAGGAGACAACAGCAGTGTGTCTCTGCTGAAATCGTGGGACTCCCATCAGGCTGCAGGACGAGTTACTTCCTAGGACGTGACAGGGAGCGTTAGAAAGGGGAAACAGGGCCAGCGGCAGGCAGGGGCGAGCTGGAACCTAATTCAAAACTAGGTGAGGCCCTGGATTCTCTGAGGAAGCAATGACACAGAGGGGGAAGATACAGAGAGATTCAGGAGACGGTGTGGGAACTGATTCCATGGGTGGGGTCAAAGGGAACCCAGGACATCGCCAACCATTATCTGGAACAGCCGTGAACAAGGTAGAGGTGGTAATAAAGGAAGAAATGACCACGGGTTCAAGTCTCTAGCTGTGTGTCCTTGGGCAGCTCATCCCACGTCTCTGAACCTCAGTTGTCTCGTTGGGGCTGGTTAGTATCTATCTTGGAGGATTACATTAATCACAAAATAAGACACTCTGCCCAGCACCTTCCACACTACCTGGCACACAGCAGGTACTTAGAAGCATCCTTGGGCAGTGCAGAGATTCTATGTGGTAGAAACATCTCCATAACAGAAGGCCACAGGTCTATCACCATGCCTGCACAAGCAACTCAACGCCCAGGCTTTTGCTAAAAGAATTCACCAGGACTGGTGAAAGGTTGGCTGGTTTCAATTCCAAGCAAACACCAGCACCTGTAAACCCCCAACAGCCAAGCCAGCCTGATAACTGTTTGGGGTTTTTCACTTCCTGCACTGGGTTGAACTTCTAACCATGACTGTGAAGCCGACCAAGACGACCACCCCGTATGTACTCGCAGGCACAACCAAAGGGAGCCCCGCCGGGGGATTTTCCAGGAAAGATGAGGCTTAGCACAAAAGTCCAGCCACATCTAAACCCGGCCTCTCCATGTTTTCCATATGCAAGGACTACCTTGGATTGCCTACGAAAGGAGGGCTTAAAAAAGAGAGCCCCCAGTCTACCTCAAAAACATGAACAAATCATATTCCTTAGTTAAACTTATTAAACGAAGTCAATTATGCCTTCTCTATTTGGTTCTGAGGAGATAACTCACATGAGTCTTATCAATGAAAAAGTCATGGGGATGTTCTTTTTTCCTGGTTCTGGGGATGAAATTCAGGGCCTTATGCATGCTAGTCACTACCACTGAGCTCTATCTCCAGTCCTCCTGGGGATTTTGCACAGAAGTATCCAGAAATGACTCCTCTGGGCCAACTCCCCCAAGTACTTTTCACAGTCCCAGTGCCGGAGATGGTCAGAACACAAGAACATCCTTGTTCCCCAAATTGGCACTCCCCTGCTCTGGGGCTGCTCTGTGGGTCTGCCCTGCATGGTGGTGGTGGGGGGCAATGTTCCAACAGGGCCTTTCTAGTAGATGCAGCTTAACAGGGACCAGTTTTCTACAAATTGCCCTACAGATGCATCTATCGCTTGGTGGTAACCTATCTGCTATGCACGGATCCAATGTAAATAAGGGACTTTCCCACCCGACATAAATGTCCCATCAAAGAGAAAAGACATACTGGCCAGAACCCAGTGGAATTCAATTCAAGCCCAAAGGGACAAGGCCACAAAGGCCAGAGGCTTGTTAAAATTGCCAACCTTGAGCAGATGCTCAGGCTCTAACTCATCAGATATCCCATCTCCTCCTGTTAGAAGCTTTGCTTCTTTCCTCACTGATAAAAACTCCAGCTCCCCAGGATGGGCTCTTAAATGGTTTAGGGTAGGAAAGAGTGAGCCATGGCCCTGGGGTTGTTTGAGGGGTGCATGGAGCTGCTGGGGGGGCAAAACACTTGCACTTTTCTGTCCTCAGCACAACAGGGAGGTTGACAATGCAGTTCGGAGGCTGTTCAGCCCCCTGGAGGGAGTTGGAGGGGGACCAGATGAAGAGGGAGGGTGACAGTCTGCTTGTCAACACCAAACCTCTGAACTGTTCCTGAAGGAAATGAGGGAGATACCATCACACGCTTTCAAAACAAACTGGCAGCTTTGGGCCCTTTTCCAATACAAAGTATCCAAGCTGCTGAAACGAGAGTGCGCATCCCCTAAAAATAAAAGATTATTCCAAATCCGTGCAGAAGTCAACTCCCAGGAGGCCGCACTCAAAGGTTAAATTACTCTGGTTTTTACCTATCTTTAGTAACCTATGACATCTCTTAAAATATTCTAATAGTCAGCCCCATACACACACACACCCCACCTCGGGCCCTCCTTCCTCCTGCCTGGAGGGAAATCAGTCCAGCCGATTTTCACATCTCTAATCTCACAGTAAACTCACTCACAGTGGAAAGAAACAAATCGCCCTAATAGGGCTGCACAGCTGCTGAAAAGCAGGTACTCTATCGCCCCCACGAAAACCCAGACACGTGTGCGGCCCTTTATTCAGGCCCTTTTATTGCGGGCTGCGCGCTCCCCTCTCCCAGGTGCGTACTCGGCACTACCCACACACACTCGGCACTACACACACAGCTGAGGGCAAAGTTTCCTCTCCGGGAGTAGCAACCGAGCTCCTGTTCTCGCCATCCACCTGATTTGCATCCCCCGCACCCACGCACCTCCATTCTCCACGCCACGCACCTGGGGAAGCGCGTTCAGGTGATGCCGGGAGAAAGGGGAGAAGCGCGCAGGTGGAGAAGAGCAGGCAGTAGGGAGGGGGAGATCCGAGTGGGACCCGGGATCCCGGATCCCTGGGGCGGTTCAGATGCTGGGTAAGCCTCTGGGATGTGGAAAGGGCAAGAAGAGAGAAAAAGGCATCCGGAATGGAACCGAGAAGGCGCGTGGGGGGGGGGGCGCTCACCCAGGGTTTTGACAGCGATCTGCCTCGTGAGTGGCGGCGGCAGATTGATGCACACTAAGTCCACGTCCTGATGCAGCAGCACCTCGTCGATGCGGCTGGTGTAGAAGGGGACGCTCATCTCCTTGGCCAGCTCCTCCGCTTCTTCTTGCGTGCGGCCCCACAGCGCCTTCACCGCGAAGCCCTCGTCTTTGAGCAGCGGGATGATGACACGGGCCGTGAGGCTGGTGCCGAACACGCCCACCCCGGGAAGCATGGCTGCTCAGGTTCGCCCGGTTCTGTTTCTGCTGCGATCGCCAGGCCCACACTCGCGCACACACACCTCTTTAGCCAATCGTGCACCGGGCTCCTGCAGCAGACCGACCACGCCGCGGTGCGCCAGGCTCCCAGCACCCGGCCAGGCGCCCGGGTGCCGACAGCGCGCCGAGCTGCGGGCAGAGCAGGCTCTGGGCTCCTCAGCACGGCGACTGCTGCAGTGTCCCCCACGCAGGGCTCCCGTCCTTTCCGGAGGCCGCGTCTGGGACTCCCCCAGTGCGCCCGAGGCCCCGAAGCCCCGCGGAGCCCGGGCTCAGGGAGCGCTCCCGCTGTGGCGCCGGCCGGCTCCGTGCGCCCCGCCGAGGCCGTTCCATGGCCGGCTCATCCCCGCGTGCGCACCGCCGCAGCCCGGGCCGGTTCTCTCCCGCGTCGCTTCAGCAGCCGGCGGGTCGCACACCCGATTCGACACCCAAAGCACGGACTCGCTCGGCGGCGGGGGCTTCTTTCTCCCCCGCCCGGGTTCCCAATGAAACAATCCAGCGGCCACCCGGAGGCCGCCTACGGATGCGATCCGGAGCTCGCCGGACACGGATCTCGAGCTGCAGCGCTGCCACGGCGGCCACCCACCGGCGCCAGCCCTCTCATTCTGCTGCCATGTTCGCTGGAAGCGCGGCTCGGGCGGCCTCGGCCCCAGGCGGGCTCGGGCTCCGGGATCCCGCGGGGCCGAAGGCGGAGTTGGCGAGTTTGGCTGTCAGCGGCCGGGGTTCCTGCACCGCCCTCGCCGCAGCGCCGCGCGCCATTGGCCGCGGCGCCCGCTCCCGCCCCCGCCCGGCTCCGGGTGCGCACTGCGCCGGGCCTGGGAGCGCAGCCTGGCTCCGCCCCGGCCCCGCCTCGCTCGCCTCCAGCCCCTCCGCTTCTCGCTTTCTTCGCCCTCACCTCCTCTTTCTCGGGGTAGCTGCGCTCCAAGCCCCGCCCCAAGCAAGCAAATAAATCCTTCAAAGCAGGGCGCGCCCTAATAGCCTTGGAGGAGAGCGGCGGGCGCCCGGGCCGGGAAGGCCGGGATCCGGCGAGGTGTGAGCAGCGGGTGATTACAACCTCTGCCCCGGGAGTGTTTCCTACGTGCCGGGCACCACGCTAGGAGAGCTTCCCAGCATTCGCCCTTTTAATCCTCGCACTAACCCTAAGGTTTTGGAAACCCATTTTACCGATGATGAAAATGAGCCCCAGGGAAGCTAAGGGTTTTGATCGAGATGACACAAGTAAGCAACAGGCCTGGCACTGGAACCCAGACTCCAAGTCCAGGCGCTGCGCCCTGAATTCTGTCTCCTTTTAAAGGATCCCACTTCACGCGCGAGTCAAAACACCCACCGCCCACCCGCGTCGCGACACGCGGTCCAGCCGCTTTCCTAGCAGTGTGGCCTGAGTAGCTCAGCTTTTCCCGGCATCCCAGGCCAGGGGCYCACTTAGACCCTGTGGCGAGGAGAGCCACAGCTGGGCCGGGTCTCCAAAGCCGGGATAGCGCGTGAGTCTAACATCTGATTTGCCAAACTGATACGTAGCCCGGGCCAGATGCCACGCCCGCCTCTCCACATCTGCTTCAGCTCCTATCTCCTCTGCGTCTTGAGGCCTTTATGTGCCCACTTTGTTCCCCACCTACCAGGGACAAGGAGGATGCTGAGGGCAGGTGGAGACTGCCCCAGCCCCTGGAGCCATAGGCCCCTGCGCCTTTGATTTCCTACCATATCTTCAGCAGTCACACTGCTTGCCTGGTAGGTAGTAGGCGCTCAATAAAAGGCTGGATGCTAGCTTTGCGCCCCTTGGTGCTGGGAGCGGGGCCTAAGGCTGAAAGGCACAGGGACCTGCCCTCGGACTCAATGTCTCTGGAAAGGTCAGGGGTCATGTCATATTTATCTCTTGCCTTCAGCATTCAGCTCCGTGTGGCACCCCTGCTTCAACACAGGAGTGAAAGGGTGACATTTGCAAGAATTTAAAGCAATTGTAACAACTGGCAGCGAGGCAGGGCACGGGGAGAAAGGAGGACACCAAAAAAAAGCTTGTATGTGGCAATGCTGGGAGGAGTCTGACCTCGGGACATTAGAAGAAAGGACACGGAGTGCTTTGGGTGACTGGCAGTGGCCTGAGGACGGCTGGGGGCAGGGGCTGCCATCGGCTGGCTGCTCTTAAGCAGAGGTTTGGTAAAACCAAGACAGGACGGTGCATGGGGCAGGGCTGCTGGGGCCCTGGGAGCCGGGCTTGCGTGGTCCTGTCCCCTGTGCCTCTTGCTCAGAGCCTGGGTTGTGCTGCTTGGCACAGAGGGCATGAGCAGAGCCAGAGTGGCAGGGGTTGACTCTCAGCTCGGCCCTTGATGAGCGGTGACACCTGGAACTACTTCACTTCTCCAGGCCAGGGTTTCATCTGCAAATGGGGGGACGGTACCTACCACAGAGGCCGCTGTGGGTCATCGTGGAGTCCTGAGGACAGCACCTGCGCACATGCTCCACATGAATGCCTGTGACCTGTATTTTAATTATTTATTACACATGACCTATTTAAATGCCCCATATATGAATGTTATCCTGTATATAAAACCTAACCTACAGAAAAGCTCTGTTATAAATGTAAAATAAATATGGAGAGTGAGCCTATTAACAACATCATCCTTTTTTGTTGTTGTTGTCCTAGGGGTTGAACCTTACCACTGAGGACATCCCCAAACCTTTTTTTTATTATTATTTTATTTTATTTTTAAAAGGAACTCACTAAGTTACTAAAGACCTCACTAAATTGCTCAGGCTGGTCTTGAACTTGCGATCGATCCTCCTGGCTCAGCCTCCTGCGTGACTGGGATTACAGGCGTGCACCACCGCGCCCAGCCCAACATCATTCTTCACTGCAGCAGCAGCATCTCGCTAATGAGAGGGGGTTTTTCTCCTGTTCTCTTAAAGGGAACTCGATCCTAGGGGAACTCTATCCTAGCTTCAGCGTGACAGAAAAATCCACCTTCTGTCTTTATAGCATCAAAACAAAATGACTCCACCTGGTCGGTGGCACGCACTTGTAATCCCAGAGACTGGGGAGGCTGAGGCAGGAGGATGGCAAGTTTTAAACCAGCCTCAGCAACTTAGCGAGACCCTGTCTCAAAATTTTAAAATCAAGAAGGCTGCAGAGGGCTGGGGTTGTGGCTCATTGGTAGAGCGCTTGCCTAGCAGGTGCCAGGCCCTGGGTTCAATTCTCAGCACCACATAAAAATAAAAAAATAAAAGGTATTGTGTCCAACCACAACTAAAAAAATAAAATATAAAAAAAAAAGAAGGCTGCAGAGGTAGCTCAGTGATAAAGTTCCCCTAGGTTCAAACCCTAGTAACACACACACACACACACACACACACACACACACACGTGTGCGCACGTTCACATCTACACAAAATGATCCCGTTTGTTTCTTATTAAATAAATACTGTCCCTATTTCATAGAAAACAAAACTAAATCCTGGCAGCAACTCAAACTGACAGATCTAAAATAGAATGCTTCACTCCCAGCCCTACCCCCAACCCATCCTCCCTTATCAACAATGGCATCGCCAGCTCACCAGTTGGCCCAAAGCCTCGACCGTCTGGGTCCCCCGTGTTTCTCATGCATTCTGCGGCCAACCAGCAGCGGATCCTGCCTGCTCTGCTTGCGAAGCACATGCAGGGCCTGACCACTTCTCCCTGCCCTGGGAGGTAGACATCCAAGCCACCATCTTTCATGAGGGAACCACTGAGCTGTCTGGTCTACCTCCTTCAGATATTGCTCCTCACAGTCCCTACCCTCTGCTCAGCAGCCAGGGCGAAGCTTTGAAAGATAAAAGCAGACCCAGCAGGATCCAGGCCGACCTACCAGTGAATGCCCATCACACTTAAGCTCATAGTCCTCAGGATACCTGACGCCCCACCTGATCTAACCCCTGGTCTGCATAGGTCAGTACCACTTAGTGCCACAGGCCCTGCATTCCAGCATGCTGGCCTCTACCCTGTGCATGGTGTGGCCCCAGGGCCTTTGCACAGCCTTTGTGCCCTCTCCTGACACCTCCGGCTCCACACACCCATCCACAGGCCTCCCTGCTTACTGTACTCAGGCCTCTGCTCAGATACCCCTCCTCAGGTTGCCTGTCATTTTGTCCCTTTATCCAGTACTTTATTTTTCCAGAGCTGGGGGTCAAACCCAGGGTCTCACACGTGCTAGGTGAGTGCGCCACACTGAGCTCCAGCCCCAGCCCTGTTTTTCATTAGAGCTCCGAGCACGGCTCCATATTATATTATAGACTTTGTTTATCATCTGTTTGATCCCATGGGTCATAAACTCACTGCCATCAGAAGCACTTCTGAATGCCCGGCACCTGACGCTGTATGTGGCACCTGCTAGACACTCGCTCTGTCTCTGCGGAATGAACGTCTGCACATTCTTCCACCAGTCTGTGTCGTCATGGGGATGGGAAGAGCTGACGGTCTGAGTGTGTCCCCCGGAGTTTCACGTGTTAAAATTCGGCCCCCAGGGCTGGGGACACAGCTCAGTTGGCAGAGGGCTTGCCTCGCAGCCCCCAGTGTGAGATACTAACAAGTGGAAATTTGCCAGGTACGGTGGTGCGTGCCTGGAATCCCAGCCACGTGGGAGGCTGAGGCAGGAGGGTCGCTATTTGAGGCTAGCCTCAGCAATGTAGCGAGGCCCTGCGCAACTTAGCAAGACTTTGTCTCAAATTTTTAAAAAATAAATCAAATGAAAAGTTCTGGGGATGTGACTGGGTGGTAAAGACCCCTCTGTTCAATCCCGGGTCCAAAAAAAAAAATAAAATAAAAAAGTGGACATGGACTCTCTGATGATGGGAGGCGGGTCTTCAGGAGGTGATTAGGGTGGGATAAGGTGGCCCCATGATTGAATCCTGGCGGCTTTATTAAAAGAAGAGAGACCATTTAGAGGCACACAAATGTCACCACGTGATGCCCTGCATGGCCCTGGGACTCTGCTAGCAAGATGGCCTCCCAGATGTGCACCCTCCGCCACCTTGAAGGAGCTGGGAGCCCAAATGAGCCTCTTTCTTTCCATTTCCC